TTAAAAAATTGATTCTGGTAAAAGTAAATTACTCTAATGCAATAAGAATGCTCGCAGTTCATTCCAAATTTTAATAATCAAGCTATGTCAAAAATCTATGTTTGCTGATTCAGGTTGAATCGGGATTTTGTTTATGGTGTGTGCCATATTAACTTCTAACGAGTAGGAATTGGAATTTGAATTGGGTGAGTGCTGACCTCTGGTCAAGACCTTTAGATCGGTCATTCACGCTGCATAAAAACTCTTTTAAAAGCGTAAAAAAGCAATGGTTCACTTCACACTCGACAGCTAACAAAAAGTTCAATTAATAGGTACTCACAGTAATCCTAAAAGACTAAAACATTCAGTAATACATGTTAACATCCTAAAATAACAGAAAAAAACGCACTAAAACATTCGGTACGGTCACCTTTGCCTTCTCATCCTCCCCTCTCCGAACCCTCCACTCCCCAATACCCCACTTACATCATTCTTCTCTTCACCCTCGACCTCCACATGTTTTCCAAATACGTATCTCTTCACACTCGCCAGTATAGCTATACAGTTGCTCCCGTAGACAGACCCACAATCAGTGCCATCCACTCTTCTCCTGTTCTCTCACGCCCCACTTCGTTAATCTCACCTACCTCGTTCAGAATCACCTCCATCATAGACTGACGCTCTCTCTCATACGTCCCACATTCCGTCAACAAGTGCTCTACAGTTTCCTTCTCATCCCCTTCACACATAAAACATTTATCCTCCTTCCTCTCATTCTACTTGCATGTACGTCCGTCCATTCACACCACGCGCCCCTGCCCTTGCACAAAACAGAAGGTCCCCACCTCTACTACATGCATTCACGTTTTGGCATCGCTTTCATCTGATTCTTTCCTTCATCAGTTTTAGAGTGTCCTTTCCCTCCATTACTTGCTTCCACACCTTCTGCCCATAGACTTTCGCTCGCTTATTTATTTTTCTTTTCCACTCTTTTTCATCCCTCTATTCCACTTGCACCCCGTACTGTCACCACCCATTCGTCCTTTGGTCCAGAGGTCCATCGCGCACCCATGCTTCATGCATACCACACTTACGTACTGTACCACTGCACGACATCTACGTGCTCATTTGCTCATCTTTATGTTCCACATATACATCTTTCGTGCCCAACGTTCATCGACCATTCGCTCTAGCCTTTATACCTCAAAACTGATCTCATTCTTCTCTCCTTAAAGGTACTCCATCCCATGTCCCCTCTCAGGGCCTCCACCGCAGTCCACCTGGGGGCTCCTAGTGCCAATCTCGCCACTCTATTCTGCACCAATTCCAATTTTTCTAGCTCACAATCACTATATCAGGTAGTAAACGGTTATTTTTAATAATGTGTGGGGAACACCATTTAACAGTAATGAATAACCAGCGACCAGCGTTCACGGGGACAAAATAGGAAAAAAAAAAAACAGGAATATCAATTTGAATTATTCATGAATGTCGCAAGGCATGACATATCAAGTTAAAAATGACGACCATTCACGCTTCTCTCGGATATTGACTGAAATTTATTGAAGACGAGACTCTCTGCAGTTTCCGGCCGTGGGGCAGATAAACGTTGATCCGGGCTTTGTCAGGCGGCAACGAATGAAGGCAGTCGTCCGCCTGCGGTAGCCTGGCGGATCATGTGCGGTCGATAGCAGCTACTGAAAACTCCTCTATTATAGTATTGGCCGCCTTAAACCCTTCTGAGATCTTCAAAAGAATCGAGAAGTTCTGCTTGGTGAAATGCAAACTAGTACTTCTGCCAGGGCGTTATGCAAATCATATTGTGAGCTTGACCCTGCCTGATATTAACCTATGCAATTTTATGTGAAATGACATCGCGAAGTTTAGTGTTTCATGAATTTTCCTCTGTAAAATGCTATCAAGTCTAATAACGGTGATAATTACACTTCAAAAAAGCTTTACTTTAAAAGGAAGAGCTGTATCTAACAGAAACTATTTAGCGATCATGTCCTGAGAAGTCATCTACTATTCTTAAATGGCAATATTGGTAACCGCACCTAAATCAATTAATACTATTAGACTTTGAAGTTTGAAGTAACGTTTACATTTTTACAACAAATCGCTCTATTCATGTGTTAATTGCTTCTCGTGTTCTCGACATGAGAACAAATTAAAACCCTTCGTGAACTTGCAGTACCGCACTCACTGAGGTAGTAAATAAGATGTTCTCATAATTTTGTTCGCATGCAGCCCCTTTCCTGCTTTATAAGATGCTAGCCCATTCAGGTAGAAATAAGTAGAATATGGCGAAAAAACATCAAGATTTCCCCGGCAACCACAGCTTTGAAATGTGCTATGACTGAAGTGATTAGATGGTTTTATCCCTGCAAATAAGCTGCAATATGAATAAATTCTTCTGCATTATGGATATTTTAGTCCGGTGCGATTCAATTTAACTTTTTTTTAATATCATTCCGCAATTGACATGCCGTCAAGCATTAAAACAGTTAACCCGTGCCGTGCTTTTGTAATCCATTTCTCTCGGCAGGTATACAGAGAAAAGACACAGCAAATCATTGCTGTGACAGTCTGAGGAACTGCAGTTTTTTCCAATATTTTATAATGAGTTGCATTATTCATTCAAAGATGTATCGCGGGTGGAAATAATTTCATTACCATGCTAAAATTATAAGCCAAATTGAATTTATTATTCGAGAAGTTTCTCGGTTAAAACGTTACATTTTGTTAGGAGAAAAAATAACGATAAGAAGGATAATAGGTAAATAAAAAGCACTGCTAAGTAGGGAAGAATAGTTTATTTGTAATTTCTTGCCAATTCGCAACAGGGTTTACATTTATACATGCTAAAACTCTTCATGCCCATTCTCGAAACGCTTCATCTCATCTTGTAATTTATTCATTTTGGCTTGAATCTCTTGTGTTTCTGTTAATAGTTCCTCTTTGCGGTTTCGGAATTTTTCTTTTACGGCTTGTTTATCCTGGAGCTTTCTCAGCTCCTCTTTATACGCCATGTAATCCTGTTTTAAAACTGGATTCTTCTCCATTTCTTTCTCGAAAGAATTCCACATTTGCTCTTTCAAAGTTGAAGACAACCCACGTCCCACGTAGAACGTGTACACCGCCACGGCACCTAGGATAACCAGTGCGTGCACCAATCGACCGGCAGACATTTTATACCCAATAAACCGTGAGATTTTCGGTGAAATTATTAGGCTCTTCAATATAAAAGAGTTTCTTATAATTTCACCCGCTTTGTTCTCTCGTTCAACTAAATTCAATAGACTTTTCAGAAGGCTCGCATCTTTTTGATAACAAACACAACGAAATTACTGTATAATAGTTTCAAATAAATCTCTAGTCGAACACTTGTTTTTCAAGTGATTATCGGAACGTTGCAGATTTGAATTACTCGCTTAAACTATAACAGATAAAAAACACTTCCAAGTGTTTTTTTCACTTCCAAGTCTTTAATTAAAAAAGCCATTTGGTGATGGAATACCAAAACTCTGGGAACATCGGGATCGTCATCATCACCGCGACTGCGATCGATTGAATGTAAATAAATGTTTTCATTTTATCCAAAGCATCAGGAGTTTCAAGCCATTGCTTCCATGTTAGTGGCGCAGTCTGGACGTCCGAACCGGCAACAGCAACGACCTTTTTACTGTTGTTGGTTCTGCTGCATTTTTTGCTGGCTTGTCCCTCACTCTTGTTCATCATTGTAATAATGCACTGTTCCGTAAAAATTATCAACCAGCTGATGAATCTTTTTGTGATGGCACACGTCGATGAAACCAAATTCAAAGGGAGATGGCAGAAGTAAACTACACCAATGGATTTTCTGTCTAACTGCAAACGTCAAAAGTTATTAATTGGCAAATGAACGTCAGCCGTGAGTGAGAAGCGACCGAAGAAGACTGACCAGTGCGAGGCAAGCACCGTCGTACGTGGCGCTCCTGTGTGGCTTCCGTCTGACCTCGAGCGCCGGCCGCACACACACGAGAAAAAAGCCCGACCCTTATTCACAGAGTTTGTATCTACGGGTGCGGGAAATGAAATGTTCATGGTCGAAATCGAAGGTTTTATTTAGGGCGCAAGGAAGTGTATGCACGCATTGAGCTTCGACGAAAAAAAGTCTTGCACTCGACTTTTGGAAATCAAAAAGTATTTATATCAACTTGCATGAAAAAATGCTGTACTGTTGAAGGTTTTCATCCTGTATTTATGGAGATAGACGGAAAAAATGGGTATGAACGGGAAATATTTCTGTACTGTCTTGCTACGAGTTCATCCACATCGTCCGAAACGAAGGAGAGCACTGAACTTTTGAGAAAAACATTTCTTATCAATTGTGGTAGACAAACTTCATGCCTCAGACTGCATCCCTCATTCAGAAACTCCTGGTTCCAATCTAAACAATTACCTTACGCAATTGCAAGACGTAACTAATCAAGTCTAGCAGGGTGGAATACAAGAGGGGTAACATATGAACAAGTGCACATATCACATTGGATCACTGGAACTATATTTTTCTTTTAAATATTGCTGATATTTTGGAACTAATCAATGTATTAGTGAAGCACCATTTCAAGAATTCCGCCCTGCGGGTAAGACCAGTGCGCATTTCCACTCCAACTTATAAGCCCTTGTAATTATAACAGCCAATTCCAGTAGTGGCAACTAACGAGAGGATGACAGGTCAGTTTTTTTCAGGGCAATTACACCACAAGTAATTCCACGACCATCACTGACTCGCTGACCCGCCTGTACCGTTTTGTAAGCATTATGCAACACCCCGAACAAGCCAGGTACTCAGTTATGAACCAGAATTAAATGATTGGCTGGGTTGGCCATAAGCCGAGCTTCGAGGAAGAACTTGTCCTCAGTGGAACTGGAACCAGTAAGCCGGGTGCGAGAAACAGAGTCTCTCCACTCGTAATCCTTCGATATGGTAGGCGGGAACAATAAATTATCTACCAAGAAGATAATTCACATTTGTGAATAATGAAATGGAATTTAATTTTGCCGAAAATTTACAACAGTTACACAGCGTGCAAAGAGTGCTAACATATGCAATTATTATATAGCGAGCTGCATCTTATGTAAGGAATAATTCGAATGATACCTGTTTTTTACCGTTCAAGAAATTAATGGATCACCAACTACCGTATTTGCCATAAGATTATAATAGGATATTTAGAAATAATTTGCAAAAGAAAATGACAGAAACTTCGAGACAATAGACTTATTATCAGTGATTGAATTATAAAGAAAAGATTTTTCTCGATTGAATTATAGAGAAAAGTTTATATGGATCGTGGCACATGAGTGTGATTCAATACAGTGGATTTAGATAGAATTGAATCCTCATGGGGCACAAGTAACAACAGAGAAACGGGAATTTAACGCTACATGCACTAAGATACTCCAGATCATAGTCTCGGATCGTTTATGTATTATAAATACGTGAGCAAACTCATGGAATTATTACAGCAAGAAAGGAACCGAGGACACACAGCATATACATAAAGGAAAAATTAATAACACGCTAACTTTAGAAGACCTCCACAGAATAATAACAATTAATAATGTAGGAAATCCGTGAGGCTAGCAAACAGTAACAACAAAGAAAACAAAAACTCAAAACCCCATTATATTAATAAAAACCCTGTGAAAGTGGTCTATGACTTCATAAAACAAAACACGTTACAACTAAGCACTGACTGGAACACTTCAGGCAACAGATAGTTGTGAAAAACACGCACAAAGTTTTAAGATGCTACATGAATATGGGGTATAATAGCAGTGAACAGAAGACGACTTCATCCCATACAAATATAAAAAAAACAATGTTCAATTGCACAATGATCTGAGTTTGTAGAAAATAAATCTTTCCTGAGTATTATGAACTAAAAGCATACATTTCAAATTCGTTGATCTTAGAAAAGTTTCAGAGAACTGGAGACATAGGGTACTGCGAAATTTTAACACGCAATGAGAGAATAAACAATTGCTTTCAAACGCAACTTGACCTTAACAAGAACGGAAAGCAATATTATGTCGTACTTCATTTGTAAATTATTGATTCAACTAAATTACGGGAGTGCACGTTATCCAGATGGTTGATGCGGGCCGATTCAATTGTCGGAAGCAATCAATGAAATTGGTGCAGAAAAAATCGGCAAAATTGGTGCAGGACACTGGAACATTGACTAGGTATGAATTAACACGTTCAGAAATAATATTCTTGATTAAAATGTACTGCAATTCAACTGATGTAGGGATTTCAACAGAAGTACACAATGCTTTGAATATTTTAGGAAATTCAATAGGTTCATGATAATATGATAAATGGAGAGAAGCGATCGATTTTCGCTTATTATCTTTCCTCTTGAGGAGGTGTTGGTGCATCAGCGGCTTCTCTCGAAGTCTCGGGTCCACTTACGGATGGTTCACTGGAAATCTCGGGTCCACTTAAAGACTGTTCACATCTGGACTGTTTTTTGGTAACAGTGAACATATCGTCAGGCGTCTCTTTGACAAGATTATCACTGCCATCATTTGTTTGCGTTGCAAGTGCCTCATTTTCTTTTCTCTCTCTCCTCAGCTCGGCAGTTTTACTTTCAATCCATTCATGAATTTCCTTGGCCAGAACAACATCAGGGATGACTTGGTCCATCGTCAGGGGCTGACGGTTGAACGGGTCAGACTGATCAGACAACAGGTGGCGGGCGATCGTCGAGCGCTCCACCACAACCTTCAGAAATAAAAAAATTAAAACTTCAGAAATAAAAAAATCTAAAAAATGATCTCTTACCCAAGGCTTCAGTTCAATTTCTTCCTTGACATAAGGTTAGCAAAGCTCTGAAGGGAACAACACTAGAAACTATATTATGTAATACAACCTACCTTAATTTCCATCATTTTCTAAAGCTAAAAATAAATCGAATAAATTGATACCTAACGTAGGTAATGACGTAACAAACATCAACTTTTCAGCAATAAAATCATATGCCGTCTACTCAGTAAAATCATATACCAGCTACTCCGGAATGTAGTTTTATCTTTCAAAAAATGTCAATGAATTTATGATATTGCATTCTAGCAAGTTTTATATTCTGTCTCCAACTTGGAATAGCCAATTTGAATTAAAACATTCTTTTCTATCACTTGAACAATACTCGTTTATGTTAACTTCATCAATTACGACTCAAAGTTAAAATTTTCTATTCTGTGAAAGAATATCATTATAGAATGGATCTCTGAATTTGTCATAAGGCGAGTCAAGAGTTGCATACACAAGCTGACCTCGGAGGACGGGAGCTTGACAGGATCTCGCATGAGCACCGACAGGATGGGGTCCAGGAAGTGGGCGGGCGCGGCCGCCGTGAGGTCCTCCTCCTCCTGCTGCGTGCACGCCACCGCCGCCACGCGCTCCTCCACCGCCGCCATGTGCTCCGCCACCGTGTACTCGCCTATGCGGTCTAAAACACCAAGCCATATTGCCATGTATCAAGTTAAATACAAAGAAATATTTCATGTTCAAAGGAATACTTCATGTCCCAATTGGCCCAAGGAAAGATACTTCACACTAATTGGTCCAGATAAAGATACCTAACGCTACAAAAGGTCCAAATAGAGATACAAAAGTTCTAATTAGTCTAGAAAAGGTGCTACCAGGATGACATTTTTTACCGGCTATACAAGGAAAATAAAAATAAACCGAGACTACAGTAACGGGCTTTTTTGAAGCACTTCGTTTAATATATCTTGGGGTTTTTTAGGATGCCAATCAAGGTCTCAATTAGTTTGTAAAGCACTTGAGTGAAAATCTTCACATTTCTGGTCGGTTACGAATACGAAGTAGAAACTAGATTCTCACGTAGCACTGAGCGCGCTTGCTGGAGCAGCTTGGGGCTGTAGCTGCGACCGTCGGCAATAACAGCGGCCGGGAAGAGGGGTAGCTGCGTCAGGTTGCAGTACATGCGGCAGATAATGGCAACCATCACGCCGGGCTGGAACTCGTACTGCTCCGCGTCTCGGACCTGGACAGCGGCAAGCCAAACTCAGCTATTCATTGAACAATGAAACGTGGTTAAAAGCATCGTTAAATTTAATGAATACTAAACTGAAAGTTAAAACTTTAAATAAGCAATTTTGTTGTATACCGCTGTGCAACATAAACTTATGTAGGTATGTCCGATGCAGAAATAAATGTAGGAGCGAATCCTGACGGGAGTAGATAGAAGGCATAACTTGATGTTACAAAGTTCTACCTTAAGTTGACGCTGCTTAGGACCGACGAGATGGTCGAGGAAGAAGTTGAGCATGTGGGCGACCCGCTCAACCATAGTGCGGTGGCAGAGCAGAGATGCCAACTCGTGCTGTAAAACCGCAGAGAGAAGTTTAAATGATTAATATTAACTTGCGTCAATATATTCTTACATTTATTTAGCGATGGTGCTATTTCTATAGCGGAGCTTATACTTCGGAAAGTAATAGTTACATCACAACTGTGGTGTAGCTTTGCTCGGTTCATTTATGTACATTTGTTGATTTCAGATTGTCACGTTTCAGAAAACGTGTGCTGGACTACTCAAATGAAACAGCGACCACTAAATTAACCACGTATCTTGTTGACAACTTCAAGTTATGTGGAATACTGATGAGCATTGGAATTAAATTAGGGGCACTTCATCCAGAATAAATATATTTCTCTGAATGCGTATAACCAGGTGAGGTTCTATATAGTTTATTGGTCAATTTCTGTGGAAACTTACACTAAGTTAAACCTCTACTACTGAATATTTTTTCCTGAACAACTGATGAAACGTCCAAACGTAAAAAAAAATTTAGTCTTAAACTGAATCACGCGTGCCGCCTGACCTCTTCAGTGAGCATGAGGAGCGTGGAAGAGGTGCGTCTAGCAAGAACATTATGGAAGCGCGCCATCATGCCCGTCTGCATCAACATTTGCTCCTTCTCCTGCCGCGCAGCCGGCGCCAGGGCAGTCCAGTCACCGCGCTCTCTGCTCGCCACACCACATAAAGTCACCACATACATAAAGATTATGTTCAGATGTTATGCAGTATTAACCGTGACAGACGCTCATTAGCTTTACAGTCTCAGATATTATAGAGTATTCACCAAGTGTGGTAAGATTTCAATACTTCTGGAGCGTCACTTCACAATGGGTTTTCAAGGTACGTTGAGCATCTTTTTTCATATGACGAACAAGGCAGTTCTGAACCAACTTCCAATACTCATATTGAACACTTGTAAACATGTTATTATAATCTATGGGGATATTTTGAGATTCAATTCTTTCGAATTAACTGATCTGTACTGATTATTTCTGATTTTTCCTTAAATTTATTTTGCAAAATTGATGTCTCAGAATGAAATTGATAATAATTAGCATTAGTTCTATTATTAAGAATGCTTGCCTGGAGGAGAATGAACATAAAAATGCTCACTTTGCAAGAGTCATTTCCCTGAGCTGCGCCATGTACGTGAGTCCCTCATCGAGAAGAAAGATGTTGTCGTTGATGAGGAGGTTGATGAAGCGCAGCATCAGGGGCGGCTTGGTGCTCTCCATGTTCTCCAGCGCCTCGACAGCGAGACCGACGAGCACGGCGCGCTGCTCCGGCACCTGCCACAACTGCTTCAGGATCTCGTACCTGACAAGCCACGTCACGTGTCATAACTTCGTATGCGGTATGAAACACACGGCTGGATTATTGACAGAATTAGTCGATAGGTGTATACAAGTAAAATCTGATGCTTACTAAATAATGCAAACCAATCATTCATCATAGTTTAGAAAATGGTATGAAACACAAGGATTCACTGGGCGGGAATTGTTCAATATATATGTAGAAGTAAAATCAGATGTGTACTGGTAGTGCATTTGTCATATGAGATTTGAGTTGGACATAATCATCAACACATTGTATTACTTCTTAGGTAACATGACACATTTGAGATAGAACACATGGTCAACTACTAATGATGGCATTTTCTGATCGAAATTTGACATGGCAAGTTGGGTACTCGTTATTTCATTCTCAATTAAAATCTTTTCTAAATATTCAGTATATTATAACTAAACGAAGAATATTTAGACGGTATTTACTGATTACTTACATAGGACCTCGATACTTGAACTTATCCTCGAAAGCTACATTTTGTCCCGTCATCTCAATGCTGACGAAGACCCTGACGACAGATGGCACGAGGTGCTCCGCCAGCGGGTGTTGCTCGACCAGCTGTTGCCATATGGCGGGCAGTTGGCTGGCGAAGCGGCTGGTGCGAGTCAAGTCTGAGGCCGAGGACAGAGGCTCCCCCAGCAGCAATACTTCCAGAGTCTGAGCGAGCTGAGCCCTGAAATGTAGGGCTAATTAGGTGCAAGCAGCAACAATGTCTATTTAAGATAAATGTACACGGTAACATCCAGTCAGAATAACAGGCATAACAGGAGTGCAAGAACTTGTAGTTATGTAGAATAAGTTGGCAATTTCTCTCACGAGGATATACTGGCTAAAGTAGTTGGAGTAACAACGATTTGCCGACTTCTCAATCATATTGTATGGAAAAATTCACCAGAGTCAGAGCACATTTCCTTGGCTAGTGCAGCACAACAGGAAAACACACATTTTCAGAACGGCAATTCCACAACCCTTCCAACAAACACAGTTTAAAGTAAGGAACCCATAAGCCATAAAACGTGCATTCACTAAGGATGCCGACGCAACAGTCAGAAAGCTTACTTCAAGACAACACATGTAAGTGACAAAATGCAAGTACCTCAAGTATGGATTTTTGATGCGACTGGAAGAACCCATGAAGGAAATGATGAACGTGATGTAGTGCTTGTTGACAGGCAAGTCAAAGAGCGGTGTGTTATCGTCCGCATTTAGCATTCGGTAGAGAGTTGCCAGACGTGCGATGTTGTCGACGAGCATCTCGGGTATGAACTGCAGCCAGCTGTCTTTGTGAGGCACCGGGTCCTGGTCAGCTGTTTCAGGTATCGGCGTTTGCACCGGGACACTCAGGCGAGGGCAGCTGTCCCATGGGGAGAGCGGCAACTGGGCGATCTGTATTCAACCGACATCACATTAAAATTCATCACCAAAACGTATTTAAGCACTTACATTTACAAAGACAACATAAAAAATTTAGGCAATACCAAGTACGAAGATATCAATAATTTAGGCAATACCATTACAAAAAAATTATCAATGATTTAGGCAACAAAAGTACAGATATAATATCAATAAATAAATATGGACAAGTTACTGCACCTGAACGAGCCAGTGCGCGGTGGCAGCTAGCAGATGTGTGGTGTGGGGCGAGCAGGACTGCGGGAGGAGGGCGGCGCGCAGGGTGAGGTAGGAGGAAGTGAGCAGGGACACGCGGTCCCGGATCAGGGTACGCAGGGTCGGGTCGGCGGACCGGTCCAGGGCTCGGTTCTCCTGGTGCAGGCGGTTAAGATCCCGCTGTACGCGCTCCAGGCGACTCACTGTCACCTGAACAATTAGTCATTTATATTACTGATGAGACACGTCTGGGGTGCTAGGGAGAGACGATGGAATTAAAACAATATACTGTGTGAAACAATAATAAATTTTGAAGAGAGACAATATTGCCATATGTGATTTATATGCAAAATTCTAATAACTAATCCAACTAACTCGTAGAAAATTAACCTTTAATTTTCACATAAAAAAGTCGTTATGAATAAAATTCAAATTATTGATTAGAGAAGTTTGAGTCCTGTGAGCTATGGACATGTGACGACGCGGTACCGTACAACGTAGAATAGACCACTTAAAAAAATAACATTGCTGAGAAAATAATATCGAAATAATTAAGGTGGTATATCATTGAACCTGCCAAATATTGTGGCGAAAAGTAGAATCAAAGCTTGCCCCAAAGATGAATGAAGAAATTAAAATGATTTAGTTCAGTGGCAATAATTTCGGGCGATTTATACTTTAAACATGAAATAATTTATTGTTTTAATTGACTGGCAGCAACACTCACCGCCATGCCGAGATTGAGAGCGGCGTGGGCAAAGAAGAAGCAGGCCGTCACGAAGGTGTACTGCTGAGGTAGAGGAGGGTGAGCCTTATCACCCTCTGCAGGGGGGATGAGGGGCGTCAAGGTGTCCAGTGAGGCAGGATACGAGCCTGGAATGCGTTCCCCAGCAGCTTGGGACTTGCCGCTAACGCAATACGATGGATCAACCTACAAGTCAGAGCAGCACATAATTCCTGTTTATTTTATGCTAGAAAAAACAACCAATTAACACGGCATTCAATTCATTCTAAATCAATTAATAATGAGTCCAAAATGGGCATGGGTATAAATATGAAGCCAACAGGTATGAATATAAACCTAGAGTGGAGAACTCACCTTCATGATGGCATGCTGCGACGCCAGGTTGCCGCCTTCGCCCATCACAACAACGCCCTCTGTGAACTTGTGGGCGAGTCTGGCGAGGACGGCGCCGAGGTTGATCATGAAGCCGTCGCTGGCGTACTGCGTGGCGGTGAGGGAACCTTCGCCAGCCACGTGCCAGAGTCCTGCTCGTCCCAAGTTGCTAGCCACACATCCTTCCAGCCACTTCATGACCATGTGGCGCGTCGCCTTGTTCTGTTCGAGACAAAATTTACTTGATTTCGGGGAAGTTAAAATAAACCTTCAAAGTATACAGACTAGATAAAGCATTATTTTCAGAAAACACTTCATTAAACACAAGTTTCAATGCTAAGAAAATCACAAGTATATTCACCACTTCTTTTTCTAAAATATTCTGGTCACAAGACCAACTCTATCATAAGTTTAAAGTTTCAGGAAGAAGAGTGTAATCAACAGAGAGAGCAAAATGTTCGCGGAAGAGGTCAAAACCTGATAAGCCTAATTGAAACATCTGCCAGTGCTCCAAGGACCAGTGAAGCAACCTTCTGATCTGATAACCACACCGAGCTATAAAATGGGACCAGTCGAGTTGACAAGATTTCTGATATCAGAAAAGCATTTATGCTAATTAAACATTTTCTAGCAAACTAACCTTCTTTTGTCCTAACATCACTCCACAGCTAATTTGTAAAAAAAAGTTCACTGCCCATTTGTCAAAAGAAGTCTTCTGTCCCCTGATTTGAACTGTATGGTACAAGAATTACATAGAACCTGTACAGTATGCATCCCTAAGATCAGCTATACTTAATTTAAATGTTAGCATTTTTAGGGAACAATGTAAGTAGAACATGCCAACATGAAATGTCATTATGTCAGATGCTGAAGTTACCTTCAAGAGTGCACTAAATATTTCAAAGGTGCGTTCATTCACGATGGCTTGAGTAGATGATATTGATGAATTCACAGCATTCACCTGCAAACCACAAAATAAGTTACCAGCGTTTCAAGTAGGTAGTTTGCTGAACCTTATAAGAAACATATTATTTTGAGCACAAAATGCCGTGGCCCCTCACAGAAGACTCGTCAGGTTCATTATAAATTGATATTCATAACCAGTAAATTCTTTCCTAGATATATACTCATACCGAAAAAGATATTCAAACATTTGAAAAAAATACCAATGTCCTTGCATAATTGACTAAAGCTTTAAAAACAACACATTCATCAAGTGAGGAGACACTTTTATAAGAACACGGAAGAAATGTTGGAAGAAGAGAAATGGGAACAGTTTTGTTGTTCATACTAAGATAAACAGGACCTAGTTAGTAGTAGCAAGGTACATTAGTCTGAAGTGTACATTATATGAAGCAAACAGCAATAAATTAATAACATTTTTTAAGCCAGTGATCGGCTGAATTTTTATGTAAACAGAAAATCTCCAACATGGAGATTAAGAAAAAAACATAAATTCCAGAAGTTGTCCTTGATTCCTGCCATAATATGTCATCGTTCATAATTCTGATTGAATTGGTACTTGGTGAAATAGAGACTGCTGAGGACTAACCTCCTGCCTGGTAAGCCTAGCAGCATCAACAAAGAAAGCTGAAGGCTGCAATGGAGAGGCCGGCAGAGCAGAGATTGCCAGGAGACATCCAAGGGCAGTAGCTTCATAGGCAGCTCCAGCAACTTGAGGACCAGTCCATAGAGCACCTGGTGCTGGCACTGACATGGTAGCTGGTCTAAGTTAATTCTCCAACAAACAATTTTAGCCTAATTTTATCATAGATAGCTTACAATTCTTGTGCTTGATGACTGCAAGGCTGAAATTTTCAGAAATTTTAAAATGCAATATATATATGAGTATAAGCCAACTACACATTCTCAACCGGCAAAATTATATAAACTGATATCATTTGAGAATAAATTCTTTTTTAACATCAACTATAAGGCAGTGTTTTGTAAAATTGCTTCATACTTCTGTAGCACAAATCGGAAAGGTAATTTCTTTTATACCTGTGAGGAGAATCGTAGCAAGACTTGGCCTGATGCAGTATTGGGCTAGACGCCTCACAGCTAGCCAGTCCACAGCCATGAGCTCAGAGTCTTTCAAACTTGTCTTAACCTCATCCAATATCTGCATCAGTAAACAAAATTATATATCTTTTCTAACATGAAAAATTCACCAAATAATAATAACTAATGAATAGTGGTGGTATAATTTTTATGATTCACAAAATCAAATGTTGCATAAGATTAAGACATTTGTAGCTAAAATAGATATGCATGCATTTATTGAGTATGATATAGAATAAATTTAATAGACTTGAGGAAGAGATAAAAATTGTAATTTGTTGTTATATGAGAAAAAACACTTCTACCAAATATAAAGAGAATTCATAGCAGGAAAATCATTACCAGAACATCACACACCTGAGAAAAGACTTCAGGAAGATTGCTGCCTTCAGCCTCAGCTCTGGTCACATAGCGCACCACAAGCTCATCAAAAACTTCAGATTCTGTCAATTTTTCCTGTAACAGCTTCTTTAACTGCTCATGTACATTTTGGCCAACATAAATGTCAGGCTCATGTATGGCTGTGTGGAAGTTGACAATGACATGTTCTTCGAGTTCCTCAACACAACTTAAATAATTATCAAGTGAACCTTTACTTGATTTGATTTTCTTCCTTGCACATGAACAGCGTTCATAAACTTCAAAAAGATAAAATAACACCTGCACTTCTACCACAGCCTCAGCATTAACAGAACCCCAATGAGTTGTTCTGTTAGGATGAGTACTATTAGGTCCAGCCAAGGAATAAGGTTGTTCCAGCATAAGACGTTCAAATAAAAGTGTATCAGTTGAGTCAACTGAGAGTGCAGAGTCGGGGAGCTTAACACAAGCATGCCAACTGTTGATGGACACATCATGTGAAGTGCACAGTAGAAGATATTCCAGGAGACAAGATATCTCTGTTTCCTTACAATAACTGGAGAGTTGCTCATTTTTTGATGGCACAGCAGAAGTTTCTTCTTTCAGAGGTAATCTGCAAGCATTTAAATGTAGTTAAAATTTGGAATGAATAAAATTATTACAGAAACACTGATTATGAAAAAATATAACATCTTTCCAATTCATAAATTGTTCACTGATCTATCATCACATCATTTAAATTTTATTTGAAGAAAGGGAAGTGTCACAAAAAAAAGAGCAACTAGTTTTATGAAAATTATTCCTTACGTCATGTGGGGAGAAAGCAACTTTGAACAAATTTAATTGTTGTAATCAAGACAAAATGATAACATAGGCTACAATTAATGTTCAACTCAGATACTTGACTATCAAAGGTGTTTTCACTTGTCAAATGAAAATTCAGTTTTGCTCCTATTCTTCAACAGAGACTAAAAACTCACTGAGATGTTGGAAGCGCTCCACTACAGTCATGCTGCCTTTGCTGGAACTGATGGGCAGCCTCAACAGATGGGAAAAGAGCAGCAAATTCATTCTTTTGTAGATCTTCTGCCATGTTGGAAACTAGGTCTGTCACCTAAGGTTATGAAACCTACTAGCAGACTACTTTAAAGTCTGGAAATTAAATTTCAATGATTAGGTATATAAATTGTAATTAAGGTATAGGTATACAGCAATCCCTTGATTAGCACGGTTTTGAATACCGCGGTTTTTATTAACGCAGAAAAAAAATTTGCGACCTACGGTACCCTTAATCTACGCGGTGCCAGTTTTGATAAGCGCGACTTTTTTTCACAACGCATCATTTTCCCGCCTCTAGCCAGAGGCGTTACGTTCATAACAAAAGTGTTACTTTTGCTTATTAGATCTTATGTTGTTACTTTTGTTACGACTTTTGGAAAAATTTGCCAAATGTTGTTACTTTATGAATTTCAGCTAATAATTCTTTAAATAAGGTCCCGTCCCATAGGCACTTGTGCTGACTACAGAGTTGGTTTAACCGCGCCTTGTCTCATTCATAACTTGAATGGTCGAGTTCAGCAATGTTCGCCGGTAAGTGCGCCATGCCGGTGCTCTAGTTACTCGTTAGCCTTCAACTGGTCAAGATCGCTGCCATATCTACTGCTCATTTTTATCAAACTACATAATTTTCCTTGATAAATTACTGTCATAATTATGGACAAAAAGGGACTGCTTAAACGCAAAAATATCACTTTGGAGACTAAGCTTGAAATTTAGAAAAAAATATTTATTATTTAGAAAAAAATATGATGAATTTTAGTGAAAAAAAAAATTATTATGTAACTTTGCTATTTTTGTGGATTCATTATAATTATTCCCATATATTCTTAAGTTTGATTAGCGCGGTTTTGCTTAACACGGTAAAACTCGGGGATTTATTAACAACGTTAATCAAGGGATTGCGGTGTGTATAATGTATATTTATTTGAAGAATTCATAAATAAATCCATATTTTAGTAAAAAAAATGTACAGTAATATTCCAGGTTTGCTTCAAAAGCAAAAAGTTTCAAATGTTTTCTGATGAATGTACTGTTAATGTTAGATGGTTTAAGAAGATGACAAAGAAAATGATGGTGTACAGTGGCAAACAAGAGGTTAGCTGAAAACCTGGGCAGAAGCCACTCATGAATGAGACAAAATGTCTGTACTTGCAATAAATTTAAACTGTTTTTATGACTTTAGATTAATAATCTTTCATTAAAAAAGAAGAATAATTGTACATTTTCACCCACAATTTTTGATAATTACCAATACAACTTTAGTTTCTACCTACAAAATCTGCAAAATTTTGCAATATTCCAGATTAGAGTATGATAATGACAGTTTTCTGGTACGGTATATATATTTATAGATTTTAAAACGCAATGTCTTCAAAAATTGTTGCTTTGCCAAAGTTACAATGTGATGGTATAAAATTTGATACTTGTAAATTATAACCTAGTCTCTAATATTCAAAGTGGAAAATCGGACAGAAGTCACGTCAGTCACCCATGAATTGGACAAAATTCCCCAAGGATGCCAAGGCTTGATTGAGGAAAACAGTGATACCAATGTATATAGGTGCATTACAATTGATATGGCTGATGCATGAGGATCAACACTGTTGTATGCCCATTACAATTGATATGGCTGAAGCGCAATGATCAGCACATACATGCTACATACATGTTTAAAGGACATACATGCTACATTAGAATTTTCATACTTATGAATGAAATCTTGCAGCTCCAAAGTAGCAAATTTTTAGTAGTGCAATTGGAATCTTGCGGCCCAATAATAGTTCTATTAACAATTAGTTTTTGGAGATTTATGGTGCCAATTTAAAGTTAAGATGGCTGATGGAGAGCTTGAAAAGACACCAATATCTCAGGCTAAGAGGTTTACTGTACAATGTACATCCTGGCATTCCTATTGCCTTTTTCAAATTTTTCAGTAAAAATAAGAAAAATGTCAGACTACTTTATTTGCATCTTTTTATAATTACCCATGCAACTATCATTATTACTGGTAATTTCAGGAAATTATTATCCAATATTTCAAATAGGTCAAACATCAGTCATCTGTTATTGGGCACAATTTTATAAGAATTGAAGGTAAAATTGGTTGTCACACAGGTAATTTCCAAAAGTTACATGCAAAAATGTGTAATTTTTTTTATTTTTACCAATAAAATTGAGAAAACAGAAGGGTCATGGGAACTTGTGAAATTCCTTTTTTTTATTTTTTTTTTTGTAAACTACCGTCAACCGGGGCTACTCGGGATGGTTTTGAGCGTTTTTTGTTAATAACTTCTTACGATGAAACATTTCATAAACAAGTTTAGGCTCATTTTATAGCTCTTTGTGAGGGCTATCGAATGGCATCTCCAAAAAAATTCCATATGCTATTTGTAAGGTGCCAGAAGTAAAAAAAAAGAGTGTCCCGAGTAGCCCCGTCGAATGGGGCTGAGTAGCCCCGTCGAACGGGGCTACTCAGGACACTGGGAATAAAACTTCATTTTAAAATATTTGAAGCATGCAGAGCCTACTCATCCATTACTAACAGTACTCTGAAGTCCTCCTCTTTCATTGTAGACAATGTAGAGGTAGAATAAATGACATTTTCTGTGACTTTTACTAGTTTTTCCTTCATTGATATGATATTACCATAAACATTAATTACTGTCAACTGGGGTGACTTCAGCTGTGTTTTTGATTCATGCTGGGGTCATAAACACGGGGTCGTAAACGCCGGGGTCATAAACGCCAGGGTTGTAAACCAGGTCATAAACGCCTGAGTGACTTTGGCCACTGTTTATGACCGTATATTACCCCACTTTGGCCATCATTATGAACAGGGCCAAATCACCCAGTTGACGGTACCATATTATTGATGGGATATTACTGTATTATTGATGTGATATTATGGTATCCATGAACATGCCATTGAGCATTTAGAGCATTTACAACAACCTTGTCCACTGCAAGCTTCATATCAGCAGCATCATAGCATTTTTTCTGTATCTGTAAGCTTTCAGGACGGCTTGTAATTTGTGAGACGATAAGTGAACTTTTTTTTTCGCTCAGCGAGGTATAGTCAGATGGGGTAAGACAGGACCGAAATCACTAACAGGCATGTAGCATCTATACCATGAATAACTAAAAAATCCTAAACTTATCACAAGGTGTGGTTATGCAATGGGCTTCAAAGCTACAACTCAGACTTTTTGCATACAACACAGTTTTCTGTACAGATCAAAAAAAAGTGAGCTGATCCCATCTTACCCCATTGGGGTAAGATGGGACCAACAGGTAATTCTTATGTTACAAGGTTTTTAGTAAAAATATAAATCTGATATTCAATATTATCCATCTAGAAACACATTATTTGATTAAACAACCACTAGTTACTGTTTTGTGTTGCAGGAAGTCAACTCTAATATCAGTCACATTGGAGTTTTTGGCACGAGAAAACTTTGTTAAGCATAGAAATAGTAGGTTGGCTTGGATTCATTGTAGAGCACTGCCAAATGCTACATGTATATCCCATTAGTGTCATTGTCTGAAAATTTATCAAATTGGTATTAAAACCAATGAATAATAACTTAAGAGTTGGACGTCATGTGTTTTCTTGCTAACTGCATTTGTGGTGCACTTCTTCAAACATAGCCCATGCCCTCTCACAAAATTGTGATAATAATTATTTTTTATGTTTCACACAATGATATTTCCCCCAACCACTCTTGCACATTGTTCTGCAGCTCACTAATGGGAAGAGACATCCCTATTTTCTCCATCCCTATGATGCAATTCACAATAGTATGCTAAATTTATCTAATTAAAAAAGCTAACAAGTTAGAATTGTTATTTTAAGCAAATGATGAAAATTTTGACCAAAATACTCCATGTATACTTATGCACAATAATAAATTCAATTAAAAGCTATTTTTGATAAACTATGGGGTAAAAGAGGACCATTTGTGGGGTAAGACAGGACCGTTTATGGGGTAAGATAGGACCACTTGTGGGTAAAACAGGATCATTTAGTGGTCCTGTCTTACCCCATGTCCGGTCCTTTTTTACACCATTTTAGAATAGTTGTCAGGCAGTGATGGTAGCAGGTAGGAATGCCTAGTATGTCTCAAAAGTTGCTTATTACTTGAGATTACCTGCCTACATCCACAAACCTGGCCAAAAAATTTTTTGTCATTAGACAGAGCTTATTTCCCAAACAGGGTTAACTATTTTGTGACCCTTCTTTACATAGGTTTTCTTTGAAAATTAACCAGAAATTCATTATTTGCAGAAGAGGGTTGAAACAAGCACTGAAATGACAGGCAATGATTGCTCTAACATATTCTTTGGTCAAATTAAATTCAGTGCAATTAGAATGCATGCCATGGGCCGGTCCTTTCTTACCCCATGAAGGCTGCGATCCTGTCTTACCCCATTTGACTATAAATGTTTCTCTATTTTTAATCAATTTTTTTCTTAACTGGAGCCTTTGCTAACTGAGGTTCTACTGTAAATGTGCTTTCCGGGGTGTCCCGAATAGCCCCGGGGGGGTGTCCCAAGTAGCCCTGGGGGGGTGTCCCAAGTAGCCCCGCCGTGCGGAAATGGCCGCCATTTTTTTTTGTAATGAGATAGGCAAAATCTGTCAATTACGTTTTCAAGCCGACACCTGGGTGCAACTTTTATGTAAGTAAAATTTTTTAATATGGCAAATATTTTTTTTGCTACAGACTTTAGCAGAAGTAACTTTTCAAAATAGCGTTTTTCACCATTTTTTTTTCAGGAATTTTTCAAAGCTAGTAAATGTCGTATTTTTCGACTTCCTTTATACTACATAGATAGGAAAAATGTTGTTGTTTAGGCCACTATATTTAGTTTAGCAATATTCCAATTAGTTTCGCTACTATGACTGTTTTACGACGTGTCAGAGGTGCGTCCTGAGTTGCCCCGCCAGTCCCGAGTTGCCCCAGTTGACGGTAGTCTCATTAATGTGTGGCTTCTACTCAATTTTATAGTTTAGCACTTTAGCTTGCAACAAATTTATTATTCAATATAAAACAAGATGGGGGAAATCCTTGTCTGCTTCTTGGAATTCTTGTCTCC